TTTGTTTGTTTGTCGTGGAATACACGTATGTAAGGATGGAAATGAAGTAAGAAGATTTATAATGCTTGAACAAAGCCTTTGCTTTGTGAGTTGATGCTAAAACATTTTCCCATGTGAGTTGATGTGGATCTTTAAGTTTAGAATTGAATGTCATGATGGGATGAGAATTCTTTGGCTCGTTGTCAATTTGCAATCTTGTCATTTTGCAATATGCTCTTACTTAGTATATTTATGCTTGAAGTGAATTTTTGGGTTTTGAATTTTGAATCACTTTGATTTTTCACGTCGACTTTGCACTAGAGTCTGTTCCTCTTTACTTTGATTTGTTTCCTTTAATGGGCAATACTCTTTTCATATGCGAAATTTTGTAAATGGATTTAAGATTCCGAGTACCTTAAATAGAAAAATTAATATTAGGAAATTATTTTAATTAGAAACAAACTATGGTAATCAACAATGGATTTTTAGTGTCCAATTTTAGGCAAGATATATATGCAAAATGCAAAACATTCAATTTAATAGAAGCATTTCGCCTACATTACTGACCACTCAAAAAGCATTTTGCTTTTACTAAATAGAAAAAACCAATTATTTATCCGTTGGTACAGTTCTCTCAAAGTTATATCTACGGAAGGTTCTTCAGTATCCTTAAGTAATTTCTTTAAACAGCTCCGAACAGCCGCCAAAATAAATATTTATGTCTATACAAATGAAAAATGTCCATTGATAAAAGTTATTTTCCTTGTATATATTAGATTTATACCAATAGTTTATCCGTTAGTAAAGCTATTTTTTCATATTAATATAAATCTTCTCTTTATACCTTGTGCCAACTAAAAAAAATTGAACACTATAGATATATTATTAATTAAATTATAAATATGATTGTTTAAGCATTAAAATTAACTATAAATATAAAATTAAAAATATGTAAATTTTAAAAAAAATTTGTGCTCATTCACAATATTCTTAAGTTAGATGTAAAATATCAAATACATTTTTTTACTAAAAAATAAGAGAATTATGCAATTCAAAATATCAAATATATGTATCTTTTACTAAAAATACATAAATTTTTATAAGATCTCCATATATTTTTTCAAGAATTTCCCCCTCCATAAACTCTTTGGTTTAGGTAAATTGGTTCATTTTGCCAAGTTGTAGCTCAAAACATGCAAAAAAAAAAATCACTCAATGAGGCAAAGAAATTTATAAGATATTTTGAATTTGAATGCTTCGTACATACTTTAGATTGAGCTTTAAAGAAATAAAATTAAGTATTGCCATCCATTGAATTTTTTAACCGTGTTATTGTTCTTGATGATTGATGTATCCAAGAGAATATAAATACATTCTAATTTCAACTCTAATGAACTTGTTTTGAGTAACTTGCAGACCTTTGTATATTTAATGTATCCACTTTAAAGAAATAAAATTAAGTATTACCATCCATTGAATTTTTTAATCATGTTACTGTTCTTGATGATTGATGTATCCAAGAGAACATAAGTACATTCTAATTTTAACTATAATGAACTTATTTTGAGTAACTTGCAGACCTTTATATATTTAATGTATCCAAAGGAACATAATACATTCTAATTTCAACTCATTTTTTTCTGTTTTAAACTCATTTATACATAGAGAGATCCAATAAACCACTAGCACAAACACATAATAAGTACCAAAACTTCACTCTGAAATACATCTTAATTCAGAATGCACTTACGTAATCATCACTAACTTATTTTTAAAATAATTATAGAGAGGACCACGTTAAAGTGGAAACTTCATCATAACTTTTACACGCAAGAGGATTGAGTTTGCCAAATAGTTTGGGCTTCATATTAGAACACGCAAATATAGCAGGACCTTCCTTTCCATTGTATAGGAGGTCAATGTCACTAATCTTAATATTCTCGCATGGCAGGCACTGTTGCAAGCAAAGTTAGCCACCACCTTAGTTGTAGAGGTACAACGAATATTCTTGAAAACAGCATCATTAATCTTAACAAGTGAGGGACTCTTCAAAAAGAATACAAAAAATATATATATGAGAAGTGTGATCATAGTTTTAGTTTAAATCAAACAAATTATGTATGGTTGTATGTACCTGCAATTTACAGAAATTATGTGGGCAATATTGCTGATCAATAAATATTGGACTACTGATATTTTCCATCATAATATTCTCAAAGTGCAACTTTGACACATTTAATTTTATTGGAATAGAGGGCCAAGTCTTAATTCTCACACCATTCATGGTGTTCCTGAGAGTGCAATTCACAACTGAGATCCCTTTCACAGGCTCTTCATTATTATACTTGCCAAGACTTCTTAGGCTTATTCCATGACCAGGTCCACACACAACCTTCGTGATGTTCAAGTTTTTAGTGCCGTCTACGATGGAGATGCAGTCATTGCCGGTTGAGATTATGGAGTTAGTGATGACGATCCCATTTGATCGACCTAAATGGATGTCAATTGTATTAGGACTTTCATCTGGTGCCATAATGTTAACATGGTGGAAAGTAATATTTTTACAGCCTAAGACATTGATGTGGAAGTTTTTGCTATTTAGGGAAGTTATATAGTGGACCACCGCATTGGTAAGCATGTTGAACCTCAAACTCTATTTGTATTTCATAACAAAAGAAATGAATTAAAATCTTTAACCAACATTAATAAACATCATAGCTAGAGGTTAAAATCATATATGTCTTAAGTTAGATACAAGAATTTATATTTGTTTCCAAGAAGGATTTGATATTAACTCGCTGTTATATTCAAATAAAAACATATTATCATTTATTTAGCAATCTATAATTTAAGAGACCTAATTATTCTCATGTAAAAAATTATCAAAATATTTAAAACCGTTAAAGATAGGAATCACGAGCTTAAAATAGGAGATTTTTTGCATTTTGTGCTCTTGTGACAATCATTTATGGCCCAAGCAATAGCACCTTGGCCATCAAAAACTCCCCCACCAAGCAAGGTAAAGTGGTCAATGTATTGGAAGGTAACCCAACTATCAATACCTTTGAATTCTTTAATGTCTTGAGAGGCTAATAAGTTTCCCCGAACTTCAACTACAATAAGAGCCTTACAAGGACCTTCTAAAGTAATATTGCCTAAATAATATTCTCCTTTGGGGATCAAAACTTTACTAGGTTTGAGGGAAATGCACGCAGCATTAAATGCCTTCAAGAAAACCTACAAAAATCCAAAAAGTGAAAAGTTAACAAAAGAGTATGTTGAGATGATATCTTGCTAAATGTTTTAAAATCGAGATTTGGTTTAACTGCTACATGTCTCATAAAATATTATATAATTAAAACTTGATGCACAAAATTTAATGGCCTTTTGCGTATTGTACCTGGTTAATATCAGTCTTTTCATTAGGCTTAGCACCGTAAAAAGTCACATCATGTACTCGATTTTGTTGAGCTCTACCATTAAATGTTAGCAATAATAGGAAGAATACAAGAGCAAGTTGCTGGAGTTTTTTTGCCATTTATTTAAAAGTATTAATTTAGATGAAATAAGCACATTGATTCTCTCTTCCTTATATAAAAGAAGCAATTGGCCTATATTTACTTACAACAATACATTTAGGAAAAAATTGTTTCTACTAATTTTTTTTTTTTAACCAATTTCACTTTGTTTGCTAATTTTAGTTAGACCTAGGTATATTTAATAATTTTTAGTGCATTAATGAAGTAAGTTAATTAGTTAAACTTGCAAAATCTAATTTTATATTTTTATATGGATAATGGCTCAATATCAATAGTTTATTAGAGGAGTTAGCGACAATAATAACTTTCATTTGCAAATAACATTTATGAATTAGTCTTAATATACTCATGCACATATCATTAGTAAATAATGGTAATTTGCAAATCATTTTCAATTCTAAAAAAAGCATTGTACCGATAATCCAATTGAAAAAATATATACATATATTTCACATACACAAATACCTCTCTGCATATGCACAAACACATATATATACCTCCATGCATCTAAGACTGAGAGTATATAGAATGATTAATATAATAGGTTATGAAGAGGAAATTTTGAAATGTAATCTTTTCAATTATTCTTTCGAATAAAAAAATATTATGTCTCATTTTTTGTACAAATAATTGCAATTTTAATATTGTATTTTTATTATATTAGTAAGAATTAGTAATCTGAAAATTTTAAAATTCTAGTTCTTACGTTAATTCTAGAACTTATTAAATTATACACTTATTTAAATTTCATATATTCAAAGTTTAAAGTGATACAAGATAGGAATTTGTAAGACATCCACCATGTGGTGTAGACTAGCTACCTAAATGTGTGTGCATATATATGTAATGGCCTAGCAGTCACACTAGTGACGTGGGAAAAAACTCTGCAAGAACTTAAATTTTAAATATTTGATAGTCGTCACAAATATTACTAGATGCAAGATTGAACATTAAAGATTCACCGATCCTATCCTTGAGATTCCAAGTTCATGAAGAAACAAGATAGAAAGGTGTTATGTGTTTATTGAATGATTAATTATTATGTACACATTTTATGTTATGATCTTATTTATTGAAAGTGATTTTGATGACACCCTTTCGGGCCTTTCAATTAATAACAAAAAGGGGGAGGAGAGCTAGTGAAGGACATGAGCTAAGATGGGATGTTGATATGCATATCATTGAAGTTAAATTTAAACAAGCATAAACATTACATGCACAAGAACCATATAGTAGGAGGAAGATATTCTAAATCTAAATGCCTCATGCATACTTCAGATTGAGTTTTAAAGAAATAAAATTAAGTATTGCCATCCATCGAAAAAGGGGAAGATTTTTGAAGTATTGCCATCCATCGAAAAAAGAGGAAGATTTTTAAGTATTGCCATCCATCGAAAAAGAAGAAGATTATTTAAGTATGTTATTGATCTTGATGATTGACAAAAATTTAATTAGTATTAAGATTCATTAATTAATTTTTTGAGTTAGTAAGTGCAAAATAATTCAAGAAAGTGGAATAAAACACAGAAGATCATAAGGCAAATGGAAGAAGAAAAGCAATTGAAGGTTGAAGCGTATCTATTTTTGTATTTTGTTGTTTGTCTTCTATATAATTAAATATTTTAACTTTGAAAGCTCGAGATATTTTTACTCAAAATTATCTAATAAACTTCCTTTGAGTAACTTGCAGACCACTGTATATTTAATGTATCCAAAGGAACAAATACATTCTATTTTAACTCTTTTTTTTTCTCATTTAAACTCATTTATACATCAAGACATCCAATAAACCACTAATATGAACCCATGATAAATACCAAAACTTCACTCTGAAATACATCTTCATTCATAACACACTTGAGTAATTATCACTAACTCCTTTCTTAGAGAGTTATACATAGGGTCACGTTAAAGTGGCAACTTAAACATAACTTTTACACATAATAGGTTTGAGTTTGCCAAAAGTTTAAGCTTCATATTAGAACATGCAAATGTAGCAGAACCTTCTTTTTTGTTGTATAGGAGGTTAATGTCACTAACTTAATGTTCTCGCGTGGCAGGGCACTACTGCAAGCAAATTAGCCACCACCTTAGTTGCAGAGGTGCCACAAATATTCTTGAAAACATCCTCACTAATCTTAACAAATGAGGACTCTTCAAAAAGAATATAAATATATATATATATATATATCAGAAGTGTGATCATAGTTTTAGTTTGAATCAAACAAATTGTGTATGATTGTATGTACTTGTAATTTACACAAATCATGTGGGCAATATTATTGATCGATAAAGATTGGGCTGTTGACATTTTCTATGATAATGTCCTCGAAGTGCAAATTTGAAACATTTAACTTTATTGGAGTGTATCATAAATTCATATTCATTAACAATAAACCAAATCATAACCGTTTCTTATTTTATCAGCCTACTAGTATCCATGGGGGTTCATAGGGGTGTCCCGGCTACACCTGAACTATTTCTCTTAACAATCTCAATTACAGGGCCGTCCTCATACCCCGTCCGGTATGAGCACCAAATTACCTAGTCTCCATACTCCGTCCGATATGAGACAACGTTCACGGTAGGGTTCTCTATGTACCCGGTCAGTCCACTATCTCCCAAGATATCTAGTAAGGCTGTCATTCTATTTATTTATTTGATCACACCCATTTTCTGCTTTTTCTTAGTCTCCATTACCAAATCAAATATAATCACATAAACAAATAAACATGCATCCGGTAATGCAATCATGTCTCAAATTCCAAAATCAAATAACGGTCAGGTAAGACAGTAATACATGCATTTAAACTATAAAATAGATAAATCAGATACCATCATGCTTTTAGACTACAAAATAAATCAACATAAATTAATAGAGAACAATGTCCGATTCGGGCTCCATTAGCAATCCATAATTAATTATGCACATCTATTTAATTTGTACAAAATATTGTATTATTATTTATTCAAACTTCAATTCTATGATACAAAATAGGGTGAGGGGTTCTTACTTGATTTGACATCGAAAAGCTAAATGATTTACTGCACCTACAGGTGGTCTATGGATTTCCTGAATTTTTTTTCGGGAACTGAAACGCACTTATAGTACCTACAAATGTCCCAAATAAACCCAAAATCAGTCTCATGGCCTACTCGGCCAATTTTAAAAATCTGGCACGGCGGCTCTGTCGTGCTTCGGTGACGGTGACGCTGCTTGCGGCGGCGGTCTGCCTCGGGTTGGCCGTTTTCAGCCGAATTCGGTCGATTTTATATCGATTCCTGCGAGCACACACACTAAAGGGCCTCGGTGGGCTGAAAAATCGAAACTCACTGGCGACGGGGCTTTCCGGTGCACGGTTCCTCCGACTCATGTTGCGGTTGGGTGTTTCACTTCGGTCAACCTGTAGAGAAGAAAACGGTTATCACAACGGTGAAAAATTACACGAAATGGGAATCAAGAAGGGCCTCATCGGAGGAGGTTTGTGAAATTTTCCGCTGCGGCACTGCCGGGCTTCGTCGGTGTTTTTCAGCCAATTGGCTGGTTCTTTCACTCTTATTTTGCCATGGGTGGATTTAAATTTGAATATCGTGCAAAAAAATTTTTTTTACCTTTTTTGACTATCAGAAAGGGTTCCGATGCGGATGCGAGTGGCGGCGGTCGGCTCCTTGGCGACTGGGTTGTCTTCTGCGGCAACGGGTTCTTGCAGCTAGGGTTAGGGTTTGGGTGCAGATGAGATTATTTATACCCATCCGCTTTTAATCTGAACCTTCCATCGCTTTTGATCTGGACCGTCCGATCGCGATTAAATAGGGAGTGAATCTGGACTGTTCATCGCGATCCAATCTGGGTCATCCATGCGCGATTCACTTTGAGTTGTCCGTGTGCGCGGGAACGGACCTCAGCCATTCGATCGCGCACATGCGGATCGCCCACGTGGCCTCCCGCATCATCACCTCTTCCACTTGGCGCGTCCTGGTTGGTCAGAGCTACTGACCGGACGTCTAACGTGGTACAATTTTTTTAAATTGTATTTTGACCCCCGGTTTCTAATTTTTCTTTCAAAAATACCCCCAGAACCCAAATTTTCACCCTTTTTCCCAAAATTATTTTCAATTTAATCCTTTATCAATCTACTCAATTTTTTTCATTAAATTAAAATAAAACAAAATATAATAAATTAAATTAAATAATTAAAAAATTATATTTATTCATAAAAAATAAAAAAATAAAAAAAATTTAGATGGGTGTTACAACCTTTTTTCCTAAAAGAAATTCAGTCTCTCAAATTTGTCTATCACTCTCAATTGAACAGTTGGGGATACTGGGCTTTAAAGTCTGATTCTAGCTCCCATGTAGCCTCTCTCGGTGTGTGGTTTTGCCATATGACCTTTACAAAGGAAATTTTTCAGTTGCGGAGTAATCTGTTCTTTCGATCCAGAATGCTGACCAGTACTTCCTCATAGGATAAATCCTCCTGGAGTGGAAGAGGCTCATGAGCCAAGACATGAGAGAGATCCGGGTTGTACTTGCGTAGCATGGACACATGAAATACATTGTGGACCTTGGAAAGTTCTGGAGGCAGTGCTAGTCTGTTGGCGGCGGTATCAATCATGTCTAAAACTTTAAATGGTCCAATAAATCAGGAGTTCAGTTTCTCCCTCCTGCCGAACCTATTGATTCCCTTGAAAGGAGTGACCATAAGGAACACCCGGTCGCCTTTCTCAAATTCTAAATCTCTCATCCGGGTGTCCGCATAACTCTTCTGCATGCTCTAAGCCGTTTGAATGTTCTTCTTGATCTTAACTATTTTGGATGTAGTCTCCTCTACCAGATCTAGGCCGAACAGTTTTCTATCGCTCACTTCTTCCCAACAGTACTCGCTTAGTAGTTGTTGTTCTAGGCAAACTCGATC